AGGGGCGAGGCCTGGCTTGGGGGAAAGAGAGTTGAGGAAGCAGAGGAGGAAGGAGGAAGGGGGGTGCAAGGTGGCAGAACCATACCACACACTCTCCCCTTAGTCCCGGCACCCCCTGCCACCCCTCCGTCATGGCCCGAGGGCGCAAAGCCTATTGCCTTCTCATAAGAGGAGGGAAATGAGGGCCCTTAGGGAAAGTCACGGTGACCCTGAGCACTGTCCCACAGGTCATTTGAGTCTCATGGGGCATCTCCCTGCCCACATCTTACACGCCACGAAGCCGAGGCTCAAAGATCGCTGCCCACGCTGACTGAGCTGGCAAGACTCAGAGCCAGGACTGAAAGCCAGGCCTCACTGAGCACCGTCACTCAACCTGCAAGGGCGCCCAAGGCTGAGCTGACGTCCACGGTCAAGGTGGGGAGTGGGGGGGGGGGGGGGGGGGGGGGAGCGCCCTCGGAAACAGGGGAGGCCTCCCCTTCGAGCAGGCTTCAGCTAGTGATTTTCCGTTTGCTTTTTGGAACTCTGCCACCAAGGGAGTTGTGAAATCTCACGTGCCTCCCTGAGGCTCCAAAGCCAAACAGATTGCGTGTTTATCAGCCCTTGGAAGCCTCAGGCAGGGGGCAGAGCACGCGCCTTGGAATCTCATCCTGTTCTAGCACTGACAGTTGTGGGGCCTTGGGCGGCTTAACCTCTCAGAGACCTCAGTTTCCTTGTCTGTAAAATGGACATAGTACCTAACTCATAGTTCTCCACCTACAAAGGGCAGATTATAACGCCTCTGTCGTAGTGCTCTGAAGATGCGTGGGGGGGGAAAACTGTAAACAAAGCCCCCCCCTGCCCGGCACGGCCCCCACCACACAGGAGGCACCACTCTCCCTTCCCCTTGTGCCTGGCAGGCTCCCTTCCTTCAGCTCCCCCTTTCTCCTAAAACTCCAATGAGACAGGATTAGCCGATCACATGAATGTAGTAACTGGGCATATACTCAGGCATTCCTCTCATTTCCCCGCTCCTGGGAGGTAGGGTGGGGAGGGGGGGGTTCTCAAAGCTGGCCAGCCACAGTCATGTCAACACATGCCACACACATCGTGACTTATCATTTGAGAATCTCTGTTGGAACAACACCCCAGGAAACCACAGGCCCAAGGACCATCTGCCTGACCTGTCCTTCTAGCGTGGCAGACCAGCGATCGATAAATATCTATTGGTTTGGAAATCTCAGAAGGGCCCAACGTACCAGGCGTATGTTTTGGCGTGCACGCGTGCATACGTGTGTGTGTGTGTGTGTGTGTGCGTGTGTGTGCATCCTGCTGGGGAAACAGTACGCGTTTCTCTCTCCTCCTCCCAACCTCCTAGGGTTTACGAGGTAGCCTGCTTTTAATGATTAACAGCCAGAGGGCAGAGACTACGGAGGCCAAGAAATAGCTTCTGAGACCATGTGACCCAAGATGGAACCACCAAGGGGGACTGACGGGGTTTGGGTAGAATCGCAGACTGTGGCTCCGAGCCTGGTGGGGCAAGACGAGAGAAGTGAAGGGGCTTCCTTACCTCTTGCTCCCGGCCTGAGCATCTCGAACAAAATTGGAGCTGTGCTTATTGATGGAATAGTTAGTCAGGTGCATGCAGATGTCATCCTGGGGAGAGAGAGAGAGAGAGAGAGAGAGACATGCAACTCTGTGGGGTCTCCCACTTCCTCTCCTTGCCCTCCCGGGGCCCCTAGGTCTTAAAGAAGAGACAGGGGAGGCCTTGGGCTTGCTTCAAGTGGCAAAACAGAGGAAGTCAAGTGGTATCCTGCAGCCTAGGGC